TTTTTGAGAGAGAGAAAAACAGAGAGACAGAGCATGAGCAGCGAGGGGCAAAGAGAGAGGGAGACACAGAATCCGAAGTAGGCTCCAGGCTCTGAGCTGTCAGCACAGAGCCTGACACAGGGCTCGAACTCACAAACTGTGAGATCATGACCTGAGCCTAAGTCAGATGCTTAACTGACTGAGCTATCCAGGCACCCTGGAAGATTTGATGGTGAGGTCTGCAGAGGTACTGTGTTTTATAAAGTACCCTCACATGTACCACCATTTAGTTTCTTCCAGAAATCATGTGAGGTGAGCAGGAGAGGTTTATTTCTTCCATTTTTTACCAAAGAACAAAGAGGTGCAAAGGTGTTAAGTGATTTGCCCAACATCACTGAGGGCCATACCTTAAACCCACATTCTGGGTCTACTATCCATACTGCCTCCATAAGCTTTCATCACTAAGAAGTTTCACTACACATACACACGCACACACACACACAGAGATACATATACATATAAATTACAGAAAAGGAACAAATACTTCCTTTATGATTTTCACAGTAGAGATGAAGATCTGTGTTCTTGTACTTGGTTAATGAAATATGTACTAAGTACTACTGATTACAGTGAGTTTATAAAAAGATTGATTCATAAGACAAAACAGAATTTCATTAACACTGAATTATTTTTTTACTATTGAATTATTTTTAAAACTGAATTCTACCAAAAACAATTCAGTATGGATTTTTTTAAATCAAATTCACTTATCCACTCAGTTATTAGTTCAAAATATTATTGAGCACATATCATGTTCTAGGCAATGCACTAGGTACTAAGGATATAACAGAAAACAAAGAACCCTCTGTCTGTACCCTCAGAACACTCCACCCAGCAGGTGAGGTAGATATACAGCAAAGAGTTATTAAGTGCCTGATGAAAGGACTCTGGGAATCTAACCTAGTCGGGATGGGGTCAGGAATGCTTCTCTCAAATAAAAGCAATTAAGATAAAATAAGAAAAAAAATGGTAAGAGCTTAGGCCGAAAGAAAGAAAAAGGCAGAGAGGAGGGAGCACAATGAAAGAGCATTTCATGAAGAAGTAAATTGTGGAAGAGAAATAATGCAGAATTTAGTGGAGTGGATTTGATCACCAAGGAGACAAATTAGCATGGAAAAAACCCCAACAGAGCAAACCCGATGGAACTCCAATTCTTGGTACAGTTGGTCAGGTTAAGGAGGAACAACCAAAAATGTTTTTTGGCTTTACTACATATTTTACTTTGTATTGAATTCTTTATTTCTCAACCAGAGCTCAAAACCACAAGTATACTGTTTTTATTTTCTGAAATGTAGTGTTCACATGGAATGCAAAAATTAACCCTCTTAGATACCCTCTCCTTACAAGAAGCTTTCATCTGTATGGTCTCATTTAATCCTCATGACAGCTTTCACCAAAGGATTGCTCTCTGCTTTTTACCAAGGCTTAGAGACTATTGTTTTCCAAGCATCCAGGATGGCAGATCCAGGATTAGAATCCAGATTTGAGGGTCCTTTGTCCATTGCATTTTCCAGGACACCACACAATGGTTCTTAAGACTGGTTTGCTTAAGAATCCTATTCGTCCATCAAATGCTTATTAACATCCTGTGTGCTAATGAACAAGATAGATTAGTTTCCTGTCTGTTTCCTGTGGAAACTACATTCTACTAATAAACAGATTAATGTCATAAGTCAGGATTTAAAAAAAAAAACTTTTTAAAAAGTTCTCATTTATTTTGGAGTAAAAAACCTTTCATGACCCAAGGAATGAAATGAGGTACTTACATTTGGACTCCATTTCTCCGGTGTCTCCTGTGTCCATTTCCATTGGTATTCAGATTATTTGGCGCTCTCTCTCCCAAATGACCATGGACACTATGAGCAAAGGCATGGCCAGGAAAAATGTCAGTATTTTGTGCAGATTGGCTGGTTAGGATAGTTTCCTTCTCATACATTCATCCAAAAGCTTTTCCATCTGCTGTCAAGTTTTTAGGCACTACTGCATGTGATTCCAAAGACTGACACTGTTAATACCCAGAGTTATGTTCCATCAAAACCTCTCCATGTTGGGAGCAAGAACTTTCCTAGAGTAAAGCTTAGTAGGATAAATCCAGTTATGCTTCCAGTTTATAGCCCAAGCTTTGTATTAAAAGTGGCCTCAGCAACCTGAACGACTAATTTTCCTTTCCAACATGCATGTTTCTTACCTTGCTGGTAGGAGAGAAAGGGGGTTGTTGGCAACCATCCTCCCAATCAAATCCCATAAATAGTCTGGCCCATTTCTTCTGTGCCATGTTCCAGAACTCAGTAGACACCTAGAAAGAAGAAAGTAATGCACTAAAAACATATAAAGTGGCAGGTCAGGTTAATGCAAAATGTAGAAACATTCCTTTCCTGAAACTCTCCTGGAAAGGAAAGTTAGGTTTGGCAGGGCCCATTCTGCTACCATGGATGTACAGCAACCTCCAAACCTGGAAATAATTGATCCACCCTTTGCAGGAAGAGGGGCAGGGGTGGGGGACATATCACATTCCAGAATTCTAAAGGACACCAGGTTGCAAACTATTGGGTAGATTAAGTGGAATGAGATTTCAGAGGAAGGAGCAGAAAAAGGAAGACCACAAAAAGGAAAAGGAAAGATGGAAGAAATGAGAAGCAGTATGGGAAAGAGACAGAAAGCATCCTGTTATAGGAACTGCAGAAACAGAGATCTGTTATCAAAGGCTTAGGTATCTCAGGCAGAGTGGATCTGGTAGTTGAAGTCCGGTAGCCGCAAGGCAAGTGAGCTCCAAATACAATTCAGCCCCCTGCCAGGCAAAGGCCGTCCAGCAAGGAGGCCAAGGGAGCAATGGGAACCCAGAAAGAAAGGACAGCTTCTTTGGGGATGGAGTGCTTACAAAATGCATAGATCTTTGGAACCTTATCTAGGTGATCAGAATCTTCTGGGGTCAAATAGCCTGGGCTATTTGACAAATACCCTAGGTGAGTTTTAGGCACAATTAAGTTTAATCACCACTGGCCGAGATGATAAAGTTGGGTGGTCAAAGCCTTGGGTCATAGACTGTCCAAGGCTATCTCCTGGTCACAGCACCTAGGGCAGAGCTGTCTGGACAAAACAGACCCCCTAGTTACAGAGATCTTGGATTTCTTTGTGATGAGCCATCACCCGAGGGTCTCTCCATAGAACATCCCTGAAGGTCAGGCCACATTCTCTGACCATAAGTGAGGTTTCTGACAGAGGGTCTGTAGATTTAGAGGTTGTGTCATATTTAATAGTAAGGAGGACACAGTCAGGATCTGAGGCTCAGGCGCCAATTGTACCATCAGAGCAGCTTTCAGACCTCATGCTGCAGGACCAAAATGCACTGCTTAGGGAAAGGGAAGAGGGAGAAAGGCCGTAGGAAATCATGTCAGGTAACACTCATCAAGACCCTAGTTGGAAAGCAATATGCTAGGTGCCAGAGGCAATATGCTCCCTCACAGAACTGTTATTCAAGTTTTAGGCCTAAAAATAAATTTGTGAGGAAAATGTGGGTGAAGTAGAAAAGCTCTAATTGATTAGAACTTTGTATATGTGTTCCTTGAATTTCTATTTTCCAGCAGATAAGGCAGACTAACTAAAACCATGTTCAAGGTCAGGAATTCAAACAGAAATCCCTAGCCAAATACACCAATCACTGGCTCGCAGAATAAAAACTGAACTGGAACCACTGTCTATTGCCTGGTAACCCTTGACCCCAAGGCTTTCCCTGCCCTCTTGTGTTTGGGTTGGTTAGTTGTTCTAGTTCCAAGTTTTCCTTTCAGAGGCTGCCAACTGCAGGAAGCCCTTGCCCTGTACCAGGTGCTTCTGCTCAATGGCACCATAATAATCCAGGCCCTGGCTTCTAGGTTTGCAACATAACCAGCTGCTGCTCAGAACTACTGCAGAATCTCCATAAATACTCCTCGACCCTTACTACTATCCCCTCTGAAACACTTTCATGGTAAGGATAAAGGCAAGGCCAATACAATAAAGCGGCCTTTAACTCAAAACAAGGAAACAAATGCCGCTTCCATGATCTCTGGAGGTGTCCTTTGACGCCGTCCTTCCCAATCCATAACCCAGGGCTGGGGACCCGCTCCCCCTGAACCTCTGAGTCACCTCTAGTCTCCCTTCTCTCCGCAGCTCCAATGGCAAATCCGTCACGTGGGCCCAGAATGAGAAGAGCAGCCGGGGGCAGCACCTGTGGCAGCGGCTGTCCATCCACATCAACAAGAAAGAGAACCCCAACCAAACGGCCGTCATCAAGCCCTTCCCCAAGAGCACGGAGAGCCGCGGCCTGGGCGCAGGCGGCGCGGGCGGTGGCGCGGG